GGTCCGGCCTGGTCTCGGTGGAGGCTGTGCTCGCTGCAGCTCCAGTGGCGGCCAGGTAGCTCTGTTCTCGTAAAGCCTACGGGGCGCGTTGGTCGGTCCTCTCTCCTCACGCGTCCCAGGCTTCGGCCGCCTGGGTGGTGGGAAGTGGCTCCTCCTCTAGGTAGCTCTGTTCTCGTAAAGCCTACGGGGCGCGTTGGTCGGTCCTCTCTCCTCACGCGTCCCAGGCTTCGGCCGCCTGGGTGGTGGGAAGTGGCTCCTCATCGTCCCCCCTCCACCGTTCAGCCGCGCTCCCTCACCTACGTCTAGGCAAAAGCAGAAAAGCTGTTCAGAAATCCCCTTTTTTTCCCATTAAAATGGAGAGAAAGGGGATTCAGAGTGCTTTGAAATCTTAAAAATGTGGGCATTTGGCTATCTGCTGGCTCTAGCTGGAATTCGGAGGAAAACCATACCAATTTATCAAAAAAACGTCAAGGAAGGAAAGGGCCAGAGGGTGGCAGCGCACCCCAGAAAAAAAGGGTTGGAAGAGCAAATGAAAATGAGGTTCCATCTGGCAACTGGGTGTCTCCCCAGCTGCACTGGGCATGGCCTCAGCTGGTTCCCATGAAGGGGGGGATCCACCAGATCCGGTTGCCAAATAGCACCTAAAGTTCAGTTTAGCTGTAAAGTAGTTTTGCTACCTGTTGATAATTAAATATCTAACGCTCACTGAAACTGTTTTTCAGCATACCTGGATTTGCTTTCTGTTGAATGGTCTGCCTAGTTGTTGAGTTTGGCTAGGCTCATACTCCTTTTCCCACCTTTGAGTTTCAGGCTAATATATTTTACATTTGAAATTAAGAAGTGCTAGAAAGCATAGGTGCTGTTTGGGACATTCATTTGGGAAGCAACTGCTATGCATGTTCTTTTTCTCAGCTGTAAAGAGAAATTAAAATACTTGCAGCATGTTGTTAAAAATCATGGCTTTTTTTTTATAAAAAAGAAACAATAAAATTGAAATAGTTTCATAATTGTTTAGCATAATTGCTGTTTTTCTTTTCTTTTTCTTTAAAGCTACAAAAAATAATCTTGACTGACAATTAACTGTGATTTAAAACAGGTTTGTTTCTTCTTGGAACACATTAGAGAAAGGGGCAAGTAATGATGAATAGGAATGGAAACCAAGAAACAGGAACTTGAATGTCATTTTGTAACCCAGAATTTACTAATCTGATACAATTTATACCATTCTTTTTGTGCTATGTCAGCATGAACAAGCTAATTTAGATTTTTATTGGCTGAGAATATGGTTTTCTAGAAGATTGCTAGTGTAGGGCTTTAAGAATTGTTCTATATTTGTATAGCTTCTACATTTGTAGCTTTGTAGATCATTTTACTTTCAGCAAAAATTTCACCTCTAAAACTTGCTTAAGTTCCAAACAAGTAACAGTGAGTTTTTATTTTGAAACAAAACCAAAGCAATTTAGGAGCAGACAACTTCTATGATTTGTTACTCACTTACATAGATGCATGCTTTCTTTAGGGGAAGGTAAGATTTAATGCATTACTCAAATTTCATAATTAATCTAGTAATTGCGCTATCTTAGCAAAATAAATCTTCAGGCAGATTTGCTAGCTGTAAGACTTGAAGATCATGAGAGCCGATGAGGCAATCAAATATGAGAGCTTATAGTAATATTAAACTGGTGATCAAGTGCATGCTTCAAGAGGTATCCAGTGACTGCTGCTCTTCTGTATATACTAGCTTAAATTTTTGCTATAGACATATGCTGTATGCTCAAGAATAGATCACAGTTGTCTAAACTGATTATTTAAATTGACGAAAGGCTTGAACCTATTTTTGTAGTGTGTAGGAGGCAAGGGGAAAGAAAGGTGTGATGTTGCAGACCACAATTTTACTCTTTAGAACCCTGTGGTCAGGTTCTGTTTTTCCTCATCTGGCTGTTGATGACAGCATCGTGTTAAGGTAGTGAAGTGTCCCCTTTTACTTATTATGTGTATGATATAATCTTTTATACACCTCTAGTGTCCTGAACTCTGGGAAGTAAATAAACTTTATTTCTTAAAGAAGTGGTCACGTGTATAAAAAGAGACCAGTGAAACTCCATACTTCTATTATGCTTACTTAGTTTTCTCATGTATCTCTAGAATTTAGATTATCTAATGTTTAGAAACTGAGATAACTGGATATGTAAGGACAACCCACTCATTTTTCTGGCCACCTACTTTCCTGCCTGGTTTATAATTCTGCGTCTATGTTATCTAGGCTTGCCTGTGTTATTTAAGCTCTAAGTCCCAAGTTTAAAGACCCCAGGTGGTTTTTTTTTTTAATCTCATTGATTCCACAATTTCTGTGTTATATGTGGGCCCATTTCACATACAGCCTCCTGTGTCATTTCCATTGTCCTGTCATTTAAACAAACTTAGAAAACATAGCTATTCTTATTTTTTCATAATTGCTTTTTCTGTTAAAAAAGTAAATGAAACAAAAAACTGTAGCCTCCAGTTTAAAAAAATATTCTCACTTTTCTGTTGGTTTATCACTTTCAGTATTTAGTCAAGGAATTAAACAGAAAATTAGAAAGTTATATCCCACCAGCCATCTAGGTTGAAAACAACTGCATAGTATTTAACACTTAGTCTGCTCTAAAGTTTTGCTGATTTGTTGTTGTACTATCTAGAAAGCAAAATGAAATTAATGTCTTTTGCAGAGTTGTAGAAATCAACCGCTTGGCCGCACGGAAGTAGCTAAGAATGACTCCTTTATTTTGTGCTTCAGTTAAACAACATGAGCTAATTCGGAATTTGAGTAAATTCAGAGAAGAAAAAAGATCCAGTCATTGTCATGGGGTAAGTAAACCCAGTTTAAAAATCACAGGGCAAATGCATTCAAATTGGCTATATGATTTCATTTGGTGTGTTAAAAGACAAGATCAAGATTATTTATTTATTTATTATTTTATTGTATAAACACAGAATAGCATAGAGACTCTATCTAACAGTATTTAGGATCAAGTAGACAAGATAGATTCACTGTGGGGGAGAATGATACCCCATAAGCAGTGCAATTGCACCAAAACACATCCATTCTGCTCTTTTGGGACTTTGAGATGGGGGAGGAGAGATTACTTGGGAAAACATAAACTGGGAAAAACAGAACAGAAGAGGGGCATGCATGCAGTAAAGCATTATAAAGTCAGATTGGGGCAAACAGCCACTGGAATGATGGATGGCAAACTTGTAGACAAATTTTGAATTGCCAGAGGTTCAATTGCTTTGCATTCTGCTTGACTTACAGGTTAGAATCTATAGGTGATTTCCGGCTGCAGTCATATGGCAACAGTAAAGGAAGGAAAATCTGTGTGTGACCAAAGTGAGGATAATCTTCCTTGATTTGTTCTGGGCCCAAGAATACTTGAGGGTGAGGTATTGAGGTGTTTGAACCTGTTTTGCTGTCTGTTCTTGAGATACTGTTTTTACAAGGGAAAGTACAAACAGATCAGGCTTTCCAATGTATACATTTGTAAAATATTTTCTTTATGCTAAGCATTTTGCCTGTGCAGAATCTTCCTAACACTAATGGAATTCCAGTTTATGGGACATAAAGGGTTGTACCTTAATTTGAGAAGGGTAATGACAAATATGAAGTAAAACATAGTGCAAGATACATATATCAGATGTTTCTTTACCTAAAAAAAAAATGTAAGCACAACAGATTAAACAACTAGCATTTAGTGACAAGCAAGATAAGATCCAGTAGCAACAAAATATATATAAAAAACCGACCTCTCCCAACAATGTTTAGTTAAACAATGGTAACTGAGATTAAAGTGACAAAAGCCTATTAATCGTTGTCCATTTGTGAATAAAGGAATTATCAGATGAGCTAAGAAGGGAGTTTTTCTGTCACATTATAATTTTTCATTCCAAGAAACAGTTTTAGGCTTTCCTCTAAAGTATGTGGTCCAGTCACTTTTGCAGACAGGACTCTAGATGAATGATTTATATGTTTCTGTATGGTACTTCTTGCTTCTCTTTCCTCTTCATAAACCACTACAAAGCAGGCTTCTGTTTTGTAAGAATAAAAACTTGGATTTAGTCTTTGCTTAAGTGTTTCCCAGTTTTACAAAAATGCAAATGTGCAAAAAGAGGATAACATTTGTAGCATCAACATCAAATGCACAATAGCGAATTCTCAAGATTCTGTGCTACAATATGAGAATAATATGCCTATTTCTTGACATTCTACTATCTCTGAAAAAAAGAAAACTTTGTTAAGAATGTATGGGGCAGGTCATATAAATTGGGACAGGGAAAGTGAAGCAAGTATGGATTTGTGCCTCTGCCCTATAATTAAAATTCTCAATGGGAATCATACATCAAAAAACCTGTTACAATTAACCAGCAGTTGAAGTAATTTTGCTATAATATGTAATTGAATGATAATTGTAGAGCCTTAAGAAAGGCAGGAAAGGAACATGTACTAGATTTTAGGTAGCATATAAGACTGAAAATCTATCTTGCTGTTTTGTGAAAAAAGTAGAAATCCAGTTGAATGTCTGCATCTGGTAATCAATTACTGGCTGTTATGTAATGATGTGCAATTTCTGTGGTGACTGATTGCAGTTTTTATTTAGACTCTATTAAGTAAATAAATATTCTACTTGCAGAGCAGGTGGAACAACTGCTGCATACATTAAAGCCGTAGTTCATTCTTAAGAGATCGTACATTAAATACAAGCTCCTACATCTCTATGGTTTTATGAAACCCTTTGTTTCATTCTGAGACTGGTTCCTCCTTTCAAGAT